AATATTCCGACCAGTTTATTAACAGATACTATACCGTTGGATGTACAACAATGTAAAAAATAAACAAATATCTAAACTAGACGTAAAAACCAGTTGCTTATTATAGCCATTTAAAATACTCCGGTTTTCCTAGCATATTTGGTTTGTTTCAGTGTGGTTGAGATACGTATGTATGTATACAGGCTTGTTTGAGTATTAGGTATTTGCCCGGCATCATTTCTGATCACACATAATATTTTATTCAAACAAAATTGAATGATAAGTTATTGAATAGTTGTTTTGAACAATTTGTGGATTCATTTGTTGAAATTACATTTGTCGACAATATAGTCTTGGCTGACTTGACACTACGTTGTACTACTGCGACCAAAATTCGACCAAGTTCCCGTAATACGAGGAGCAGTACACAATATGTCGATGTATTCATTCTTTAAAAATATTATGTGTTTAAAAGAAACATCAATTTATAATTGAAATTTAATTGACGTAGGAAGATTATGTCGCATCAAGGAATGAATTAAGTCGGAAATAATGAAAGAGAGAGCGAGAACAAACATAGTAACTTGAAGCAATTATAAAACAGAAGAGTGGTTTGAAAGCCTAGAGGCATTGAGGCGCAGTCGTCTCTGCATTCGACACCTTGTCAATTTGCTGCTGGCCGCGCGTCTCGTCTGTTTCAAATCGATTGCACGTAGTGACTGCTAGACTGTGCTGCCAGTCGTCGCGCGTCCCGCCTCTGTACTACTGCCTTTTCAGTCTGACTGATTTTTTATCGTATTGGCTTTAGGGCAACTAGCTACGACCGAAACTTTTGCTAAGCTATTAAACGGTTGTTGCATGAATTTTTTGAATTTTCAATTATTGAGGCATTCCTGTAGTTTACTAATTCATGATATTATTCTAAGAATTTCTTGGATATAATAATTTCTAGAATATTTTTCGTCATCTATCTTTCGTGCGCAGAGCAACTCGAGCATTGAATGATATGTGGATCTACGTAAAATAATACGAGAAAAGCCAGGTTTCACGGAAACCACTTTTCCTTCTGATCGCACTTGGTTACGTAAAAGCTTGGGTTATTGAAGCTTGGCTGAACTTTTCCCATACTCCATAAAGTACATCACCATACTTTGTGAGCATACTTTTTCTACACTGGCAATCATAATCGTTTATTATTTTTAGTATAATTAATCTTTGAAGATATATTGCTAGTCGACTATTGATTTTGTAGCATAGAAAAAGATAGCGCAGCAATAGAATAAATAAAAATGCGGAGACCGACAGCGTCACCACCGGTTCTCCGAGGAAAACTACAGCCCGCGGTAACGAATTGGCGCAGAGGCGTATACGCGCGCATAGTTTGCGCACAATGCGAGCTCGCGCTGCGCGCGAGTAATAATTCAGCGTAGCGAGCGAAGCCATGAGACGGCCGTATGTAACTGCGAGCTTCGCGTCAAGCCTAATTCAATCGAAGCTAAATAATGCGCTATCCTGCACACGCACTATTCTGCGGTTGCGCGTATGTGCGCGCCGCGCCAACTTCAAAAAGATAGAGATAGACGGACAGGTTTCCGTATGAGCGATGTAACCCTGCACTACTGCCGCTGCTCGCCTATCTGCTAATTCAATCAAATGCTTGATTAATTCGCGATGGAGATGTAAACGTGATTTTGCGCGAGCGAGGTGCGCGCTTCGAATAACACACGAATGTCTGCTCGTTATTAGCCATCCTGTACGCCAAGCGATGATCAATGCCATTGCCTCTTTCATTATTGACTGTTGTGTTATATATTCGATGAGAATTCACCTTTTTCTCTGCACTATGGTCTTATTTGCAGTTGCTCGTGTCCGATCCATGTGGTGTATTTCAATATAATTTTCTATATGGGTAATTCTAGGCTATTTCGATTGACTTGTAACCCTTAGGTTACGGATTTTTTTTTAATTTGGCACAATTGTTGTACACATAAAACTGAGATTTTTCCCAAATTTTGGAGACGATACATTAATTATATCAAAAGTTATTAACAATTAAAGAAAAATGATAAAAAATTTTCAAACAGCTATATTTTAAAAACTAATAAAGATATCGAAGTCGGATTTTTTTCAAAATACTTATAATGCCTTAAAATTTCGAAATAATTACAACAATAAACAATAAAAATTTTTTTTCGAAAGTTATTAACTTTTTGTTTAAACAATTGCTAATATCTCAAAAAGTATATTTTTTTTTTGAAAAATTCTTGCTCCTACGTATTCCTGAGGATTTTTGCTATCGAAATCAATCATAAAATTGAAGGGCCCGACATATCGGAAAGCGTAGCCCTAATCAAAAGAAGACGCCTCGGCGTAAGGCTGCGGTAGCGCTCCAGCGGACTCACGGTCGAAAGGTACTTTAGCTTTAATCTAAAAAACTAATAAAGATACCGAATCGGAGTTTTCCCAAATTACTTATAATACCTTGAACTTTCGAAATAATTACAACAATAAACAATAAAAATTTTTTTTCGAAAGTTATTAACTTTTTGTTTAAACAATTGCTAATATCTCAAAAAGTATATTTTTTTTTTGAAAAATTCTTGCTCCTACGTATTCCTGAGGATTTTTGCTATCGAAATCAATCATAAAATTCAAGGGCCCGACATATCGGAAAGCGTAGCCCTAATCAAAAGAAGACGCCTCAGCGTAAGACCACGAAGACGTCCTGCTGTCGTTGCGACGTACACTGAGGCATCTTCTTTTGATTAGGGCTACGCTTTCCGACATGTCGGGCCCTTGAATTTTATGATTGATTTCGATAGCAAAAATCCTCAGGAATACGTAGGAGCAAGAATTTTTCAAAAAAAAAATATACTTTTTGAGATATTAGCAATTGTTTAAACAAAAAGTTAATAACTTTCGAAAAAAAATTTTTATTGTTTATTGTTGTAATTATTTCGAAATTTTAAGGCATTATAAGTATTTTGAAAAAAATCCGACTTCGATATCTTTATTAGTTTTTAAAATATAGCTGTTTGAAAATTTTTTATCATTTTTCTTTAATTGTTAATAACTTTTGATATAATTAATGTATCGTCTCCAAAATTTGGGAAAAATCTCAGTTTTATGTGTACAACAATTGTGCCAAATTAAAAAAAAATCCGTAATCTAAGGGTTACAAGTCAATCGAAATAGCCTAGAATTACCCATATACGCTGACGAAGAATTTTTACCTTCCACCCTATCATTACGCGTGATTTTTTGAAGACTTCATAAAGTTTCGCCAAACACAAAGCGTCGTTAGCTTTTTTATAAAATTCGTATCTTTGCAAAATATCAAATAGTACTGTCGAATTTAATTCGCCGACCAAATTGTTGGCAGAGAGAAAATAAATCAGAAATAGCGCTTAAAAATGAGAAGCTTGAGAAGAAGAAAGGCAAGGAAGGAGAAGCATAGAAAAAAATCGACAAGAGTGAGCAAGACAAAGACGGCAGCAGCAGTCCGTAGCGGGTTATATTGAATTAAGAGGAGGGCAAAACTCGACGTCGCCGACGTCGTCGCCGAAGAGGCGAAAAAGCGAGCCGAGGGAACGAAAGGGAGGAGGGAGAAGGGAAGAGAGAAAGAGAGAGAAGCTATTCCCGGCCGGCTAGTGGTTCACTCCTCGTGGCTGTGCTCTTCGTGTCTCGTGCTACTCGCGGCTGGCACGAGGTTTTCTTTCTCCCTTCAGACAGAAAGAGAGAGAGAGAGAGAGAGAGAGAGAGGGAGAGAGAGAGAGAGAGAGAAAACGTCGACGATCATAAAAATAAAATTTCAATAAATCTCGGCGCTGTGCTTGCGCCAAGCTTCAGCGAGTGGGGGAACCGCGAGGGTTGGCTCGACTTACTATTGGACACTGGCAACGAGTCACGCCACGCCCACTTGGTTGCAAGTGGCGCAGCTATCGACTGAGTGGGAGAGAGACAGGTGAAAATACAGAGAGAAGCCTGCAACTGTATTGGGAAAAAAGAGAGAGAGGACGCTGAGCTGAAATACCGCGAAGCTTAGCCAAGCAAAGATTGAAGGAAACGCAAAGAAAGAAAGAAGACACACTTCCAAATTTAACGTACAAGGGTTTTAATATTTGCTGGATTATACATACGATTATCGCACGGAAATGACTTGCCGATGAAAGATGATTTTTTCAAATTTTTAGAATAGGTATTGACCATTTTAGTTAATTTCTAATTGCAACTGAATATTTATGATTCATGAATTTTTCATCGCTATTTGCTACCCTATGTATGGAGTTGAAAACAGCAACTCCATCATTTTTCAATGCTTCATCGATATTATTTCAAATTTGGCCCGATAAAAGAGAAGAAACTAATATCGAGCTACCTCGCAAAAGAATTTTTCTATAAGAGGCTTGTTATATTACGCTCACAGAAACTTGCTCAATTTTAAAAGCGCAAGCGCGTAAATTAATAACAGCAACGTTATTTTGTCGGTTAATTGTCACAGATATTACAAGGCAGTTCCACGAATATTTTTGCATACTGCGAACAGATAATTCGGCAGAACAATTGATGTTGTAATCCATATCCCGTCGAGTATGAAAAAATATTCATTGAGCTTGTTGCGTTGGAGGTGCACTATGGAAAAGGCTGTAAACTAATATATGTATCTATTGTAAGCTGACATAAGCAGAGTAGTATATAGTAGTAGCGTACTCGCGCCGGCGTATTATTCGGCTGTTGAGCTCGAAGTCAATCCCCCAGATCCATTTCGAATAAGATATCTCGGGCGATAGCGCGCTCGCTTGGCGTAGGAGTGATTTAATATCACGCCCACGAGCGAGCGCGAGAAAGGTAGCGAGATACTTGCTCGCTTGCTTGCGCACGATAGGGAGGCGAAGGGTAGTAGTGGTGGTGGTGGTGGGGCTGCGGACATGGCGGCGCAAACCGAGACCGGACAGTTGGCTGTATGGCATCGCGAGGTATGGATCTCGGTTCGACGGCGCATGAAAAACCATATTGTTTGATGCGTGCCCAGTGATATGGATTCGTAAAGTCATTTTCCAAGCAAGTGCGTAATTCGGAAGATATTATCTCGAAGAGGAGACAGGAAGTAGACGCGCAATTGGTGGTTTTTTTTTATTCGCATAGAGGGGAAGAGAATAAGGTACGTTTAAACGCTTGACGGCCGAGAGGCTGGTCCAAGTGGATACATCATTTTGGCGGTGGTGCCCGGCGCGACAGTGCTGCTGGAGCCGTCTCGGCCCCGCGGAGGTATGCTCAACAACCTCTCCGCCGGTGGCTCGATTCACGGCCTCTCAGGTAAGAAAACTTGTCTCTTACCTTGCATTTTCCTTCCGAGCTTTTGTCACCAGCTTACTTTTACGTGCACATCAAAGTGTTATGGTCGAAGGGGAACATTTTTCCTGTTCTTACTTTACGATAGCGGCGTGCTCACGATAACAGAATCGTGTCAATCTTATCACCTGCCGTAATACTTTTGAATTTTGCATTAATCTTTCCGGCCAATGACTCAAGTGCAGTTCCGTTTAATTGATCGATAGACGCTTAAATAGTGCTGAAATTCCTAAAATTATGCAGTACTTCTTATCAATCAATACGGTTAGAGAATCTGTTTTGAAAATTGAAAGACACGATAGTCAAACCATTGAGATATCCAGGTTTCGTTACTAGCGGTCGGCGGAAGAGACTCCGAAATATTTTTGAAATCTTTTACACAACGTGTAATTCAAGTGAAACACATAATTGTGAGTTAATTGCAGTGAATTCACAGGAAACATGGCTTTGAGAAAATGAGTGATTAAATCGACAGTAGTTATATATTATTTCACGTACTTGTCGGCCTTTGTGCGACGGAAGCCTACCAGCACCAAAGTACGTCGGGGTCTATGAAGGTGGATGCAATTTAGATGTGTATTCAATTAAAAAAGTTGTATCTAATTTATTGGAATTATAGAAATATTAGAGTGATAGTGAGATAATACATGTAATTTATTATAATCATCTACAATGATTTCGAATTAAAACAAGGATCACTCAACGATTTGGATTGTCAGCTGAAAATAAGATAAAATAATAAATAAATTGAATACAGACACTTTAGTTAATTTTAAATTTGAAGCGTTCGTATATGCAATAACGAGAAACTCATGAGCTGGTATCGAAACGAGATCTCGAGAAAAAGTAGAGTGAACAGAGGATAGGAAAGGGCTTTATTGAGGTATTTTAAGCTTTGAAAAATCGTCGGCAGCACTCGGCACACAAAACATGCATCGTGTATATTTGGGCTTCTTTTTTCGTTGCTTTTTTCGGAGGCTTCCGGAACCATCAAAGCCCCTTGTAAATGCTTGCCGCAATAAAGATCGGAAATAAAGTCATCGAGTTGCTCTCTCGCGGCCGAGAGGTGTCTCGTAAAAGACGAAAACTGAAAAAAGAAAGACGCCGGACCACTACATAGTCGTAAAAGTCCATTCATGCCTAGGACGTGTCAGTGACGCGTGCTTCCTCCGTTCATTGAAGCAGGGCCAACTTTAACTTTTATAATACGGTGTCAACAGTTAATGGTCAACCTGTTCGATGCGCCGTTGTATATACGACGACCCAGTCCGTCCTGTAGTATATCTTCTGTTTGATGTAAGGGGTTTTCACGCTATGATGAGGGATGCATTGTAGCATTATTTTACTATTTGATATGATATGAATGAATGAATTGATACGGTTTGTAATAACAAAGCTGAATTGACCACGTGCTCTGGCATTGCAAGGGCGTTTGAAGCAAAATCATCTAGATTTATTAGTCTAATTAAAATTATATTAATTTATAAGTAATAATTATTTTCGTATTAGCTTTCATTTTAATTATTTTTTCAGTAGTGTTCAACACATGAAATGCTTCATTTTATTCAATTAAGTAAAATATCCTTGTTATGAAGGATTTTTTATATTTTACACTGCAAGTTTGCTATAGCAATCAAGCGTAACAGAAACGTTGAACTTTGCAAAAATATAATTGTAAATAATCTCAAAGCGAGGAGTAAAATATTATTTATCATTCTCGTTTATTATTGGTACCAAACTGCAGTAAAATAACGTTCATTGCAATGAATAAAATCAACGTTAACAATGTTATATATTAAATTTAAGGATTATTGAAAAATTAAAATCCTAAGGATCCTTTCAAGCATTTATTATTTATTTATTGCTAACGTTTCGATAATATAATTTGTCATCCTTATCAAGGCTGTTAAAACACACAAATGATTAACAAATACAATAATCATTGAGAGATGGTATACCATACAATTATTTACCAGAGTAATCAAAAATCATAAATTTGTCATTTCACAAATAACATTGTGCACGATCTTTAAAGATTTTTTGATATAACGAGAGAAAGAATATTTTCTGATTGTTACGTTCTCGTGTTACAGACAAACAACAAGTAATAGTTTCAATTCTGAGGGTATTTATACTAAGAGGTTAAACGGTAAAAATTGAGTGAAAGGGGGTATAGTTTTTATATATTATTAGCAGCAAGCATCTCAAAACGGAAAAAACTCATTAAAGAATGTAATATTTTATATACTTTAAAAATTTTACCGAAACAAGAGTTTTATTTTTTGAAACTTACATTAATCAACATTTTAATTTTTAATATTTGTTTACCAATTAGAAGTGTACATTTTATTTCCATGAAAAAAATACGAAGTGACTTTTATAACTCCAACGTTGAAATTATTGTTATTCTGTTTGGCAAATAAAATATATAAAAAAAAGTCTATATACCAACTTTCACACTACTAATACTTTTTATCCAGCGTTTTTTCCACTCCCCTCTTTTTAACCAAAGGCCAGTTCATTCTTCACGCTCTCTCGTCGCCTACACTCATCGATCATACACATGTATATGCATATACGCGGGAGTCTCGCACATGAGGTTTAGCATGCATGTTTGCTCGCTTATAGGAGCTGGTGAGAAAGAGAAAGAGAGTGAGTGTGTGTGTGTGTGTGTGAGAGAGAGAAGCCGGTGACGATTCTCACACCTCAGTGCTAAGTAAGCCGTTCGAGCTCACCGCTCCACCTTTTTGCCGAGCACTGCTGCTTCTGCTCCTATACAAATTTAAGCTGCTCGCCAGATCAGTCCGCGCGCGCATCGTCGACGACCGACGGCTAAAAATTCTTGCTCCGTCTATCGTACGTGAATTGTTAATCTCTTTTGTTTTTCACTTTGCTGTTATTTTGCCACTCTGTTCTATTGTTGCATTGTGTTTGAGTGCTTTGGTGTTAGTTGCTTTGGTTTTGGGAAGAATATTATCCAAATGTGAATGATTTTTTTATTCTGGTGACTAAACGGTTGAGAATTTAAGGTCGAGTAAAAGGATGTGATGGTGTGGATGATTTTTGAGAGTTATTTTGTTAGATGTCTGTTATCTAACGATCATAAATGACGGTGAGAGTTGCTTTTTTATTGTGTAAACTAATGTTAGGATGAGATATAACTGGCTTAATGCTTCTGAGACGTTCAATTTTCATTAGAAATGATTTTATAATAGGAGCTTTCGTGAATAACTTGTACTTCTAGGGGCATATCAAGTTTTCCTAGTAGTTGAATCATATTTACTTAACATAACTTATTTTTTCGAGGAAATATGAAATCTTCCTTTACCTGCATCCTCTTGCAAAGAAATAGTTGATAAATCGTATAAAGTTCATTTTAAAGAATTAAACTTATTCACTTGTGCAGGCGTAAAAGATCTCCATGTCCAAGACTTGAAACGTCACGATAAATTGGACGGCGTCCTGGGAGTAAATCTGGGCAGTGGCCTCTCCGGTGGCGGAGGTCTCACGCTTCCCCAGGATCTAATCATGACCATGCCTGGTACAGGTTTGTTTAATTAAAAATACTGTCTGTTGTTAAAACGCTAATTCGGATTTCCATTTTACTATTTGTGGGGTTTTCGTTATTCTATGTATTTCATATTTATTCACGTCCATATCTAATTGATGAGAGAATGTTAAAACTTCCAACATAATTCGATGCGACATAATTCAAAGGCAGATCGGAATTATTCAATAATTGATGTAAAAGAGTCATCGCAAGTATTTGAATATTTAAAAATTACAATAATTAATTCATCCCATCAAGTTCAGTTTGATAAAGAACTTGTCTGTTGTAGATTGTGCGAATTCGGTGAAGCTTTCACGAATATAATAAAATTAAAGATAACGAGGAAAATAGCTGAAGATCAAGCTCGTTAATCAGTGTTCTACCCTTGTTGAAAAAAGGTGGTTGCCCGGTGTCGCAAAATGACGACAAGCCAGCCAAGCAAAAGCGCCACCGAACGAGATTTACGCCAGCTCAACTGAACGAGCTCGAGAGGTGTTTCAGTAAAACCCACTACCCGGACATCTTTCTCAGGGAGGAAATCGCAATGAAGATCGGCCTTACCGAGAGCAGAGTTCAAGTGAGTCTTCCGTTTTTTGTTTTTTTTTTTTTTCATTTCTCTTCCGATGACAATTGACTGGCTTGAAATATAATTATCAATCTTGACGCGCTGATGAAAATCAAAGGAAGGCACGTTAGTTTTTCAAGATTCCTAAAACCGACACAAGGTTAAAGTTGCGGCGATCAATCAAAAAGTCGAAGAAAATGTTCTTTCCCTTGCAAGCTCGTACTTTCGCTTTGCTACTGGTAGCGTCGGCAACTGTATGGTACTCGGGAGGCGGTTGAGTGATTATTGTAGTCGCAGGAAAGTTTGCGCCCGTATCAATTACCAGGGCCTACACTGGCTTTCCGGATTAAAGTGAAACTTGAAGCCTTGCGCTTGGCGCGCGCGCACGCTAAGCCCCGTCGAATTTCCATGGCTCTATCTCAGTTGCCCACTCGTTCCGGTGCGAGCGGCGCGTCGTCGTCAAACCACAAACGCTACCCCATGGCCCTCTCTCTCTCTCTCTCTCTCTCTCTCTCTCTCTAGTTTGGCTTTCCGCTCTCTCGCGCTGATTTCAAGTTAACTCGAGAACGCTAATGAAGTCGTCGAATTAATCGCAGAGCTTAGAATCGCTACTTAGCTCTGCTACACAAACCAATTTCTGTCAATTCCAATTCCATAATTGACGGTCATCTGAAGGTTCTCGTAAAAAAACAATAAAAGCCAAGATAACGGCCAACTTTTAACGCAATCATGGCAAATGTGATGTGAATATGTGCTCACAGGGGAAAACTGAAGCTAATAGAAATTCATGAAATTTTTATTCGGAACTGAAAGCGTCAGTCAAGCGGTGCGTCGACTGCATATCAAGCAGCTTTTTCTACTTTCAGTATACGAAAATGCGAGAGAGTTGAGTAACAGAGAGAGAAAGAGAGAAAATAGCAGAAACATGTAAGTGCAGTTAGGCGAATTTTAATAGGGGTAAAAGAATTATGACTTCATAATTAGTCTTTATTAATGCATACTACAATATAAATTTGATCATGAAAACATGCATATTACTCTTACGAAAAACCCAATAAACTTTATTTTCAATATTAAATCTTATCGTAGAAAGCTCACGTGGAATGTGGCTTTGATGTGATTCGGATATATGCGAATGTCGAGTGGATCAAACGTGCTTTCACTCTATATCTATACAATGAATAAGGGATCGCGAATGCTCCTCTCGGGCACCTTGATGCCGTCGACGATTGTTGTATACACCAGCGAATACAGTAGGACGCGGAAAATGAGCGTGTCGGTGTATAGGGGCGTTACTTTAATTGAAATGGGCTTTTACTTGTACGACACGAGTGGAGACAGGCCAAGCATATAAAACCTAGTCATTCGCCAGAAAAAGATTACTATGTTTTTAATTGTACTTTGCTTTGAGTGCTTTGAGCTTTCGAGATAAAGCTGCAGTTTACAATATTGTAAAAGTAGTGCTCATTGTACCAAATTATTAACATTCGAATGTACAACTCTACGTTACAATGTCATTAATAGTTTGCAAAAACTCAGAAAAAGTTAAGCAGTGCTTATTAAATCGATATCAGATTGCAACTTACTAATATTCGACTTTGCAATTTCTTCATGGAAATAACGTAGCGACGAATGCAGTCAAAAATAAGAAAACAAAAATCGCCTATCCAAAGTCATAGTCAAAGCGATCAGGTCCGACAAAGCAGCAGAGAGTTGCTCGGGAGGGAAAAGCTTTGCGCTTGCGCATTATTGGTTTGGAGGACTTCATGGCGCTGTGAGGGTAAACATTGGTTGGGTAACTTGGCTAGAGGAAACGTGTTGCCAGGGCAACCGGCCGCCCTCGGCTTGCAGCCAATCGGCGCCCTGACGCTATCGAGCGACTCTCTCTCTCTCGCTTTGTGAGATTCCTCGCTGTTGGCCTTGCCATGGCGCCGCGTGCGTCTGCTCGCGCGTTTTTTTATTGTTTTTTTTGTTTCATATAGACAAAAAGAAGGCTCTCTACCACGTACTGGTTACGAGTATTGCGCTATATACAGCGCTCAACGATTGTTATGAGCTTTCACTGGTATACTCGTGTTGAAGTTGTAATATGCGGATATTTTTTGGCGGTTTTTCGACCTACTGAAATTTGATTTTGCAATGGCATTTTTGTGAAATTTATTAGGAATGTTGGAAAGATTTAACTCGTTTATTGCGATGATTTGTAAACACTTTGTCTTTATTTTGTATACTTTTGGAGATAGTAACGTGGTGACAATATTTTATTTCACGTCGATAACAAGATTGATGGTTTTTTTTAAATGGACTAATGCCACAATTTTAATGTTAATTAAAATTACAACAAAATAGTTAGGTATATGTAGGTATTAAATAAAATGTATCGATCGAGAGGTCAGTTTGATTTTCGAGGTAAGAGATAAATGGATTGATTAAATTAATTAAGTTTGATTGACTCTTGATGATCGATAACGTTATTTTTCAAATTATCTCATTAAATGTTGTCCTCTAAGCTGCCAAGGAGTTCCTTCAACTGCAGCCATAATTTTAACATTAAATATTTTTTTACGCCAAGAATATCTTGTTAGATTATGGTTTCAATTATGTAATGTTAAGATCTTTACTGGTCAATAATGTAGACGCAGCTGACTGTGAATGACGTATCCGTACTAGCTAAATGTACGCGGTAAATTACTATGATGTTCAATAGAGTTGAATGGTTGAATGAAATAAAATTATTCTGCGGACAGTGCAGTAAAAAATGTTGCAACATCAAAGTTCCTGTTGCCATGACGAAGATCTTCCTGTGTAATTTTTACTGGAAATTTAATTGTCAGCTCTCGTACTCTCGATGTTTCAAATAAAGCTCAATCACGCCAATTGCTGGCTTTCGTATTTTTTTTTATCCACCTGCAGCGACGCCACGAGTGAGCTGCTCACGGTGCGACGATAAAAGCTTTTTTCCGGCGCTTGCGTTTATAAGCTTGGTCAGTGAGAGGGAGCCACATCGACGCGTCGCTTTATTTATATTTAAAACACGTATTGGTGCTTTGCTCGTTTTAATTACGTGAATTTTAATACCCCCAGCTGCAGCAGTCCAAACAGAGACTTTCCGTTTTCAGCTCTATGGAAATGAACTTTATCGGCTCTGTTATCGCGTCCCTCTCATCTCACTCTTTTCTCTTTTTGGCCCGAACTGCAATTCGCTTCTCTTTCCATTACTGCAACTAGCTAATTTTTTATTTCGCTTGCCACCCTATATGTCTGCCAATCCATCCCTTTTATCATCTTTAATAATTTATAAATTTATATTGGCAAGTTGAGAGAGAAATAGTCTATTTTTATAGCCGGTAGTTTTGCGACATTCTGGCTATAGCCTAGCCTTTCATTTATTCAGAGAGAACTGCTTACTATTTCTAAGCCCGGTAGGATGTTGCTGTAATTAATTATTTAAATATAGTCAGCAGATTTCACATTGAGTCAGAAAAGCATTTAGCACCAAAGTTCAAGTAATAGACACTGTTTAAGCTCAACTCACTATCATTCCTTCTAAGCTAACATAAAGTAGGCTCTGCCTTAGTTTACTCATTACATAATCAATAGCATAGTACTGATTAAGTCACTTAATAATCAAAGTATGATGATACCCGCGACATTGCATTCACATCAATGAAAAATATGCGGAACGGAGATTAAAATGTAATGCTAATAAAAATCCGATTAAAATTGCAGTCGTATAACGCGCGAACGAAAGGACAGAAAGGGGTAAAAGGATAGTCCCTAGCAGAGAGTATTCAGTGCGGCCATAGACGCTTCAGTTAATGTCCAGTAACGGAGCATTTAACTTAACTGCCAGACAGCACCTCGGCACAGGTAACTGCTGCAGCTCTCGCTGCCTATGGCTTCAAGGGTCCGACTCTCTCTCTCTCTCTCTCTCTCATTCTCTCAATTGCCTAGCAGTTTTATGGGCAGATATCCCGAAAGAACGATCAAACTCTGGCCGGTCTGCTCTTTTTTTGGTCGAGCTTTTAGTGCACGCATCGCGCACATATGAGCGCTTTATTAATCTTTATTGAGCGGTTTAAAGGACGAAGTGGTCGTTGGATTTAACAGGATGGCTCATTTCATTGAACGCCTCGTTAAAGTTTTTTTTTAGTGACTCTAAGTAAAATAAACTTTTTTTCTTCTCACTCTCTTGAACATTTGAATGTAATAGGTACTATTACAATATCAACATGTGTAATTTCAGCAGAAAGAGAGCATCATCGATATTCCTCGATGGCGTTAATCAAACGTAACAATAAATTAGAGCCTATAGACAAAGACGGAATGACTAGATATAAACAGGGCCCGCGCGAAAGATTCACCGCACGATATTGCTCCCAGATCGAAGTCCCAGAGCGCATCATTTAAAGCCGCCCAATCGATCGGAAAGCCTCGTGCGCACAATCACGTACACATACAGACGAAAGTTTCGGGATAGATATTGGTGGTCGAAAGTGAATCTGCGTTTGCACATGTGCGTTTCTTGTGAGCCCCAAAGGGAATAAATGGCGCGTCGACCTTAGGTGCTGTGGTGGTTGGCTTTTCGTCGTCGCTTTCCTCGTGGGACTGGCACATGGACGGGGGAAGAGAGAAAAGAGAAGCAAGCAGGTTGCTGTGGAGCTTTGAGAAATGGGCAGCGGCGAGTGCATTCGGACTGTATACCGTTCACGCGTGAACTGAGCGAGAAGAACAGGCATTTCGCATTTAGTTGTATGCCACTCAGTTCATGTGTCTGTTCGACTGTGGCGCGAAGCGACGCGACGCGCCCTCCCTTCTGCTGGATGCGTTGCTGTCGCGTGTCTCTCTTCTTTGAATACATTCGTTTTTTTTCTTTTATTTTTTTGCTTATCACGACAAACACGTAAGCCGAGTTGACGATAAGTCAGGAGCAAGTGATCGGCGTGAAGTTTAATTTTATGTCACTGTTTGTTTTACTGGATAGTATTAAACAAAGAATAGTTTTATAAGTT